CATAGATAAAGTAAACTTTATGACAAGTTGTCTCCAAGGAAATCCTTGCTTGCCTGAAATTGTATGAAACCTGCATTTTAGGAGAACATCAGCAGTTTTGAGTAAGTGGAACAGACAGAAGTAAACATGTAATTACACAATCCATAACCTAATCTCAATAGGATTTTTGCAATAATGGTAAAAACCTTAAATCCTGCCTTATTCATGAGAGAAGAGTGGAAGAATAGGCCTGATTCTTGCCCTGCTGGGTTTCTGGACAGGAATGGAAACAGAACACATCAACTAGGACACCCTGAAGAGAATTAATGTAAGGAAACCTTGGGTACCTACAAGTAAGATGCGTACTCTTAGTATGTCATTTAGATTTTTCTCTGTAGCTGATAGATACCCTTATATAGTAACTTATTCCACTTTGGGCACTTCTTTTAGGATGACAGTAATGACTTGCTCTTGCCTATTGCTTGCCACTGGCTATGAGAAAGGCCCAAAAGAAGAGCTTGTGGCTTCCTGGCTAACACCAGATGAGATGAAGCCTCTGGAAGGTCATTTCTGATGGCTAGGCCAAGATCTGATGATAAACCAAAGCCATATCCTGTGGATCTTATCCTATCCAAGGTCTACTTTAAAACATTTTTAAACCACCACAAAGGTTAGGTTTAGAATTGTTTAATTTAATGTGTTTTACTTTAAAATTGGAGAGAACTCAGCTAATCTGTAGTGACTTGTTAACCTGAGTTAGCTGTTTTGGACTGTGTGGTCATAATAACTTTTGTTATGTCAAAAATATTTGTTCTCCCTAAAAGGCTGGCTTGTCTCTTTGTTGAAATAAGTCTCATTTTCTGATCATTTAGAAACTTAACATATTAGAAATAAATAAGTTAGATGATTTTAGCAGGCATGAACTAGTGGTGTTCAACACGTTGCAGTTGCAGTTGGAGTTCAGGGTACACAAGAAAAACAGGACTGAGTCTTCATAATTTGTCAAGAATTCCTATGGTAGGAAGAGCTCAAACTGCAATTTTTAAGGGAAATTAAAAAGAGAGGTGGCTAATGGGAGCTAGTTTCCAGGCATAGGGGACTATTAAAAAAAATAGCCTTGGCTGAATTTATCGCTGTATATAAGGTATATAAAAGTATTCTTTTTTTTAAAAACTTGGGTCTGCATTTTGGTCATTTCTTACCAAGTTTCCTAATCTTTCAAGCTCAAATTAAGCTCTGTATAGCACTAATGTTAATCCTGTACATCACTAATGTTTGTATCTAGATAATTTTTTTAAAAGTCCACCGCATAGTTAAAGTAGAAGGATGCAGACATTTCCTAGCACTACATATGCTGGGATGGACTTGTTCACAAATAAATAAAGCAGCTTTCTCCCTCAGGTAGATGTTTTTTGCATAGCTTTTCTTTTTTGCAACAGCAATTTCTGTACATCTTGATGAATGAGAAGTGTAGCAGTTTGTCTGACACTTACTGTCCACCACACATACATTCTTCTTTTGAGTTATAAAGCTGAAGGAATGAGAGGGACTCATAGCAATCAAATCATCACAACAAAGTGTCTAAAAAGGTCAAATAAAATGTCCAGATGTGCTGGCCAATCATCTAAATCATCCACCAAAGAGTTCTCAACAAGAAAACACTGCATTATTGTATAGCCACAGCCAATTGCTCATAATTTTTATGAAAAATTAGGCTTTTAAACTGTTTAGTCAGCCATGTTGTGTTATAAGAAAAATGAAAAAACAACAGAATCTGCAATTACTAACAAAACCATACATTTTTAGTGTTGGACATATCTTAAAACTTACAAAATACTTGTTATTTTAAAGAGAATTAAGATTTAACAAAAATTGTGATGGCGTGCCAGCTGTATTTTAAAATGGTTTAGGCATGTATGTATTAGGCATCTGTTATGCGTCTGTGAAGAAAGAGGGAAGGCAGAAGAAACAGAAACAAGCAAATTTGAAATGTATGTTATAACACGCCACAAAAGATTGTGGGTAAATTACAGGACTAACTTGCAAGTGATTTTCCCATACAATTAAAAGGTCAAAGCAATTTGACCTGAACCTGAAATTTAATTTAAATTTAGTTGCTGCTTTATAACATTTGGTTTCAAATGTTCCAGACAGAGGTGAGATGCAGAATTTCTATGGAATCCTTTTGTTGTACCTAACCAGATATTGACTGCTATCATACAAGGACACATCAAGATATAGGCTGTGATTGATCCAATATAGCTTTGGTTTTCCATTATAAAAGGTTCCCTTTCATTAGAGTTTTAAAGGATCTAGTGTGAGAAAGTAAAGACCCTGTATTCGTGACCTGAAATAATCTACTCTTTATGAAAGGCTGACAAATCACAGAGAATCAAAGAACGCGCCTGCGGCTGCAGAGGTTTTATCTGAGCCTAATCTAGGGGTCACTGGAAAATTCAATGCATAATTGAAGATTCATCAAAAAGAACTTCTCAGATTAAAAGCTACGTTTACTGTGTGAATGAGAAATCCTGGTGTGTTGCTTTGCTTCCATGTTGTTTGAAGTCATTTACTTTTTTTTAAATTTCAAGAACAAAAGAAACAGCTTAAGGAAAATGAATAATCACATCAGGTATTGGTTTGTGCTCCTAAAATGCAGCAGCTTTCTTGGTGGAAATGAACTTTCTATGTTTAGGATAAGTGATGCCACAAGCCTTACCACCGTACTCTACCAAGTAGTCCACAGCCATCCTTCACCTGGTCTAGTATTCAACATTTTGTTTGCTTTCACAGGGTTTTTCTTTTCAGTTCTTGGGCAAAGAGCAGACAAGTGAAAAAATAATCCTGTTGCAATTCCCAAACAGAAAGAAACTCAGATGTTTTTCCTAAGCCTATCTTTTGCATTATTTTTATATAACAGCATACAATTTTGAGCTGTTTATGAGGTGCTCACGATGGAGAGCTGCCTGGTCCCTGTCCAGCCACCTGCCAGGGAGCGATGGCTCACAGGGTAGAGTGTGGGCACAGCTCAACTGGGAACACACTTTGTGCACAGAGCAAACACAAAACGAGAGGGTGAAGTGCTGACTGATTCGTCTTGTCTATTGACCTTTAAGAGCACTGAAGAACTTTTCACAAAAAAATAAAAAGCAATTTGATTTCAAGAAGAATAAGAGAAAGAAAGGTTCAAAGACATTCCTGTAGATGAAATGTCTAAAAGTACCACCCTGAGTTTATAGATGACCTTATTCCAGGGGATTACTTATATGTCAAAGCCATGTCAAACAACAACACTGCCAACAAATGGACAATTCAATGCCCAGTACAGCATGTGACCAGCTATGCTGTGGCTAGTGATAGCAAAATGACAGAGGAGCGACCGGCAAGGAAGGGGATGGCAACAGCCTCCTGTGGAGTGAGCAGATCTCTAATTTGAAGGAAGGAGAAAATAATGGCTGAATATTACCAGAAAACAAATGACAGGAAAACAGACCAAAATGCTAAGTGGCATCTGCACACTGTGTTTTTTCAAAACTTGAATAATTCTCTGTGAGGGCGCTGAGCAACCACTATGCCTCAGCTGTCCTGACCTGGTGCACCTGGGACCTCTGCCCATGGGGCTGGGGACTCCAAGTAAGCTCAAGCCCAAACCTAAACTATATTATAGGTGAACCTGTATTCAGCCTCATCTCTAATCTTGACTCCTGGACCAACCTTGGATCTATGCTGAAGGTAGCTTGCCTCCAGTCCTGTCCATGGGCCATCAAGTCTCTTTGGATGGATCTTGGATCTGTGTTGCAGACTTATCTCTGGCCCCGTCTCCTGCTGCTGCTGACCAGACTCCTTGTATGGACCTGGTTCATCATCTCACCTTCTCTGGGACTGCTGATGGGAGCTGCTTCCTTGCCTGAGCTGTGCCACCAGCTGCTGTGCTGCTGGCTGCTGTGCCTAGCCTGCTCCCTCACCGGTCCCAGCCTTGCCTTGCCGACCTGGCTTCCTGCCTTGACCCGGGGCTTGCCTCGTCACTGCAGACTCAGCTGATCGTCACTAGACTGGGGCTGACCCCAGCTGCTGCCCCTGAGCCGCCGGACTCACCCCACGCCCTGCCCAAGCCTGCTGCAACACTTAGCTGCCGGTTCCCCTGCCCCTGAGCGAAGCTTGGTGCTCCGTGCCTGGAGGAAAAGCAATCAGAGCCAATAATATTCCCCTTTATATCAGTGGAAATATAATGTATTTCAACTTGCTCAGCAAATCATCCTCTGCTTAGATAGACCATTCTGAAGTCCACAGAAACCAACCCAAAACTTTCTCCTCAGCAAGCTCTACATTGGCAGTCAATACAGACACAGCCTACATCTAATGACGCAGTCTGATTCTAACTAATAGCAAAATTCTCATCAACTTCAAAGGGAGAAGGAACAAACCTCAGGTCGCAGTCCTTGAACCCACAAAGAAGATGACAGAATCAGTCCCCTGCAGAGCATCATTTAACAGAGGCCTTTATCAGTATAGACAAGGTGATCTTATTAAATTGCATGAGGAATGTGCATGGAGAAATACAAGAGCTCTGCTAGTACAGAGACACAGATCTAAAATGGATATGTTTATAGACAAAATGACATGTAATAGTTCACTGCTATGAATGAATCTATAACACAATATTATTATTTAGAACTACCATCATATCCTCTCTTAATACAGTTAAGTAATACTGTATTATTATAATACAGTTAATAACTGTATTAATACAGTTAAAAATTTACTTAATATGTCCACATTTGGAAGTTAATTAAAGCTGCTGTTTTATTAAAGAGTTATAAAGAGAGTTGTAAATGTTTAATTTACTAAGCAGTTGCTAAGCTTATTTGCCCTGCTGCTCTTCGACACAGATGTGGAAGGCTGAAGTCCCTTGGGAGTCTGGTAAAAGCTATTTCTACAACCTGATTTTGATTAATGAAGTTCAGTGGGGTATAATTTGACAAAGTACTGACATTATTTACAGACAAAAAATAATCTCTTACCTCCATTATCTTTTAGGTGCAGTGCTATCTTGGTGTCATCTGTAAAAGAAATTCAAAGTTAGTTGTAGGAAAATGCATTTTTCTAGGTCATGAGTCATTTTGGGAATGACTTTTTAATGTCAAAGAAATTCCACAATTAGAAAATGATTTGGTACTCAACTCAACAAGAATTAGATTGCGGTGTTCTTACTTTTACTGAGCAATGCTTTACTTCCTTACTACTTGTTGTGGTTTAACCCCAGCCAGCAACTAAGCACCATGCAGCTGCTCACTCACTCTCCCCCCCTCCCCCAGTGGGATGGGGGAGAGAATGGGGAAAAAAAAAAAAGTAAAACTCGTGAGTTGAGATAAAGACGATTTAATAGAATGGAAAGGAAGAAAATAATGATGATAATAATAATAATAATGGTGATGATGATAATAATAATAAAAAAGAACTGGAATATACAAAAAAAGTGATGCACAGTGCAATTGCTCACCACTCACCAACCAACGCCCAGTCAGCTCCCGAGCAGCGATCCCCCCACAGGCCAACTCCCCGCAGTTTATATACTGGGCATGACGTCCCATGGTATGGAATACCCCTTTGGCCAGTTTGGGTCAGCTGCCCTGGCTGTGTCCCCTCCCAACTTCTTGTGCCCCTCCAGCTTTCTCGCTGGCTGGGCATGAGAAGCTGAAAAATCCTTGACTTAGTCTAAACATTACTTAGCAACAACTGAAAACATCAGTGTGTTATCAACGTTATTCTCATACTGAATCCAAAACATAATGCTATACCAGCTGCTAGGAAGAAAACTAACTCTATCCCAGCTGAAATGAAGACACTACTAAAAAAACATTTATGAGAATGTTACAGTGTAAAGGAGGATTCCAAATACTGGTAAATAAAGGTACTAGAGTCTGTTCCATAAAACTTACAAATCATTCATTTGTGTTACATGTTCATACATAGCTTGAGCATTCTATCATATTAAGGACTATATGAACCAACAAATGACACTAAAATGAAACAATGACTTAGTTCCTCTTCTAAGAATCATGAAAAGGTCTACCAATTTTAAATCCTATTTATTTCCATGTTCCTCTTCTTGTTGTGAGCTTTAATGAACAAAATGCCAGGGAATAATGCTGCTAATGCAGTCCAAATCCTGCACCAACAGTTTCTAAACTTCTCTTGCTGCAAACAAAACCAGCCTTTCTTGTCTGTAGATTCCCACCTTGAAATGTCTTCAGCTCAAATTTTCCTGTCACAGGCCACTTAAAAAATCTGCTTGTACCTGGTACCTTTTCTTGTGTTAACATACAATTCTGACAGAAAACTACTCTCCCTCCCTCCCCATTTTATAGATGCTATTTGATTAATCTGAGTTAACATTTCTACCCAGCTGAATTTTCTCCAGAAGCAGGCAAGCAGGATACTTCAACCACAGAAAGGCAAGATTTAGGCAGCCAGTGCAACAAGGATGAGAACTGACACACCATCACTTACCCAGTTAATTTAGTTCAGAAGCCTATAGAAACTATTTCATAACAATGAGCACTACATGAAAAGAGCAGTGTTAACTGACCGAAAAAAAGTAAACAGGCAAATTTCAAAAAGGTTTTTAATTTGGGTTATCTCCAATTTTCACCTGGTTAAATAGAATACCTAAAGGGATTAAAAATTCATTAAGTCTGTGATGGGAGTTTCTTCACTAACTTTATCAGGACCCTCTCCTTCTACTATTTCAACAGGTTTTGGACTATGGCCTGATGGTTAAAGGAACACAAAAAACTCATTGTAACCACAAGTTCTCCAGAAGTCTGCCTGGCTTGCCCATGGACCCCCAGCACCACCCTCTTCTCCAGCACTTCTCCCCTTTGCACCTTACTGTTGTGAGAGCAAGTTGCAATTTAAAAGCAGTAGCAGATATTGCGTTGACTGCAATTCCCCACTCTTGCCACTGCCCCAAAGAGAAAAGGTCAACATGAACACATACTTAAAGGAAATACACTTTTTAGACTTGTAAATGACGTGTTTGCACTATAGAATAATGCAGTGTATACACTTCACCTTCTGTTGGCAGGCTAGTTGGCAGGTGGGAAGTGATGGATCCTCTGGTGGTCGTTAAAACTCTGAACTTTGTGGTGGTTGGCAGAAGGGTGGTGGTGGAGTATGGAGGTGTTTCAGTTGTGTCTATATTCTTCTCACAAATCTTATCTTTTGACTGTTGAGAAACAACAAAAACAAAGAAGAGAAAATTATTTCTCAGCAGAGACTGTCACTAAAAGGAGAATTTAAGAATGGGCAAGCTGTCAGGATAAAAAGAACAAAAATGGAAACTGTAAATCAAGGAATTTCAAGAGTTTTTTCTTTCTTTTTTTTTTCCTCCTTTGGAGTACTCTACACAGCATTCAGCAACACACATTTTTCAGTTAGCTGCAAAACTTACAAATCTCAATTGTTAATGACAAGGCTTCAAAGTCATCCCTGAATGTCAAACGTGTTATTTCCCCCAATCAGATTTTAACATCTAAGATTATCATAGAAATTTTCACTCTTCTATTGTGAATGCTCACTGCCATTGGTCTGGGTGCCATAACACATGTTAAAAAAGATACGTGGGAATTAAATCATAGCTCTCTGTAGTGAGTAATGTGTAGTTAACTGGAGCATTTAATTGGGCTTTACGTGCAGTTATCACAGAAAAATATGCATATATGTGTAAAATGTGTGCATGTATTCAGCATATAAAATATTTATATATCACACTATAGAGCAACACTTTCACTATATGCCTATTAATTATATATAACTTTAAAATTTCATGTATCGTGTCTATAACAATTATTATATAAGTATCCTAAAATATAGACTATAAACTATAATAATCATACAAATGATTGTTATATTAGCACACCATAAATAATTTTCACCATCATACACGAATTTAACTTGTATTTTCATGGGCAAATATTTCGATACAAATCTTTAGTTTTGTTTTTTTTTTTTTTTAATTTGTGGACACTTTTAAAATTCTGCAGGTGTAATGAATATTTTCTTTTATGGATTACGCAGTTTTGCAGGAAAATACATCCAATTAACTAGCAGCAAATATAGGAACTGCTTGTAACTCCTGCTGTCCCCATTGATTTTAATGAGAAGTTGAATCCTACAAAGCCTGTTCATTTTATTGAGATCCGGCTGTCAAAACCCAGTGGGTGTTGTCTTTCTTTTAATATGTATGGGTATTTTATTGTCCTTTGTTTCACCAGAAATAATATATTACATTAAAAAATGTATCGATACCTGCAGTATAATTAGTCTTTAAATTTCTGCATGTTTTAGCTTGAAAACCACTATTAATTTCACTGATGAAATTTAATAAAAATTTAGCTCAAAATCTATATTACAAAGAAGGAAACATTACTACGAGAATCCTCATTATTCATCCTCTTGAATGAATGCATATAAAATTAATCTCTGTGTGCTAATTATTGATCCTTTATTGAACACCAGCAGTCAGCTCAGACATCATTCTGGAAGATCCTAAGTAAGCTGTTGCTTCTGCTCCAGAGAGTCTGAAAGCTGGACTGTGAGCAGCAATCAGCTAGCCTGAAACTGTGCAAATCAAGGTATTAGTTTCTCAGATACACTTCATGTATCAATAATTTCCTCTCAGATCATGTACTAAGCCTTGGAGCACTAGTTGTGTTGAAACAAGAAGGGAGAAGCAGAATGGGATGCTACTGTCCTGCAGAGAGCAATTTTTGGATAACTTCATCTACAGGCACAACGAAGTCCTAGCTAATTATAATCTGGATTAAAGCAATACAGAGATAGTGCACTATAATAACACATACTCCCAGTACCTTTTATTTTATGTTCTTGAAGAGGTCATCCTCCACAGACAATAAATCTCACAGAAATTCCATTCTTAAATCAGCAGATTACAAATTGCAAAGCTGAAGTTTCAAGGCCATGTAATAAGGCAGTATGTTGGATGTGGTTATTTTGCAATTACAGTTATAAGGAAAAAATTTCTTCCATCAGACTGGATTTATATCATTGCTTCTCTTTGCTTCTACTGAGAATATAACAGAATGTGCTTTTCTAACTAGACACTTGGGGCTAAGTTTTGCCCTGAGTTTTGCCTGACATTACATTTCAGAAGGGCTATTTTGCTGAAACTCATGACAGAATTTAGCCCTTTCAGCCCAAATGGAAAAGTAACTGCTTTTTTATGGCCATCAGGAGATTAAAAGTGTCATAAATTAATTTGTTCCTATTACCACAATCCCCAAAAGAAAAAGAAAAAAAACAAAAAAACCCCCAACCTCCAAACCAAGAAACCTTCTAAAGGGAGGACACTGAGAAGGAGCCAGCAGTAAGATACTTATATATGTATCTGCTCTGGTCCAGGAGTACCCCAAATAACTCTTTTAGAGGAGGCTTATAGTCCCTGTTTGACAGTCCATCATTACCACATTCAGATATCTTTTTTGTTCTTTCACTGCCACTCCATGAAAGGAAATCCAAATGCCTTGTAGGTTTGGGTTTTTTTAAATCTCTTTGAATTTATGCATGTAATTTCTTCTGTACTATATGATTTGGCCAGATTTCATAATCAAAATGCAATGCCTGTTTTTCACTTGAGACTACTCTGGCAGAGGGTTTTCTGAGATGAGGAACATCACAGTTCCTTCCCCTTTTCTGGCAAGAGTCAGAGATCTAAGAGAAAACCGGTGCAGGGATACTGTTCTGGGGCAGGCTTTCTGGTATTTTTATTTTTTATTTAAAGTATTTTCTCAGAGATAAAATTTTTACTTTGTGTCCATTTTATTCTCTCAAATGGGGAGTGAAATTGCTCAGCCTATTTTGCTTTATTATGCCTTACAGCATTTCCACTGAATGATAGAGATAAATATAGCATGTCTTTGGCCTTGAAACCATGCTTCATAATCTGAAGAATTTAATCAAAAGCATCATAAGTATATAAGTGGCCTCTGATGGGCTGAGGATGTAAACTACTCACATACCTCTTCAGGGCAGCCACTGTCTACCCAATCTTGCCGGTGACGGTCAAATCCACTGGAGCATCTTTAAATGATGAAATAGATAGAAGTTGTCCAGATGGAAATAGGAGGAAAACAAGAACAAGAAAGGAAGGGAAAAGAAGAGAAGAGAATGACAGAGAGAATAAGTAAATGATGTGATTTATTTTAAAATCCATATGATTTATGTGGTATTGCTTTTATTCAAGAGGCAGTTGCTTGCAATATGAGTTAATAATTTAATCTACTTCAGTGAAACGTGTTTCAATGAATGAGTTTTTATTTTAGGTTTTTTTTTGTTTTTAATTTATAGTTTTTAAATAGGAATGTCTCCCTTCCACTGGATAATTATTCTTAAGACTGCACTGAGCCATAGCATTTTTAAGTTTGATGTCAGCCATATAGATGTAAATTAGTTTAATTATTTCTACCAGACTTCTTAGCCAGGAAAATTTAATCACGCAGAGGATGTAGTGAACCAGTCACTGCTTTTATCAGGCAAGGTGATCTGAGACATCAAGATACACACACAATGATGCGATCAATGTTCACAGATTTAGGTAACAGCTCCTCAGAACAGCCTTCATGACAATTAGAGAATACTATACAGCTGCTTCTACTTCCTTATTAGCTGGGGAAAACTTAAGTTGCATGCATATTTCTTATCAAATTAGGTGAGGTTGATAGCATGCTTGCAATATCCTTTTTAATTTTTAAATTTTCAATTTTAAAGCAACTTGTAACACTTTAATATAATGATTCCCTCAGCAATCCCCACCTCACAAGAGTGTTACCAGTGTTTATACAGTAACTTAGGGTTTCCTAGACAACAGTTAGCATTATAAACAGAAAGCATTATTAAACCAGCAAGCAAATAACTAAACCATGATGTCCGACTTTGAAAGAGATTCTCTCCAGTTACGTTTTTTTAATTTTTGTTCGTTTGTTTGTTTTCTGTATTCATTTCCTGTAGTATTTTGTTATGAGACAGGATGATGTCATTTGGCACCCATGGTCATAACTTACCTGACTGTACAGCAAATAACTTTCTCACTGTCTTTTAGTAAGACTGGGCAAGCAAATAAGGCCACTGTTATGGTTAGCACTGAAAGATACCAAGACATGCCAAGTACTACCTTACTTCAACTGAGGTAAACAGGTGCATTTGGAAGAATGGAACAGTGGAATCACTTTTATAGTAGGAGAGGATGTTACAAGAAGATGTAAACAATGTTAACAACACACCTGAGATAATAAACTTCTCCATATAATTATTCTGAGGAGAAACTACAATGTCTTTGACAAAAGATTTTGAGAAAATGTTGATTCTCCTGTGGTAGTTGCACTGATCCATATTCCACCATTTGCAATGTTACTAAAAAAAGTACTCCAACCCTCAGAGGTATCAATTATCACTCACTCTATAGCAACTGACTTTTTAAGAAACCTTTTGCAGTGAACAAAAAAGATGCCTAAACCAGAAAAGCATTCTAGAGGAATGCAGAGACCTCCTTCCCAATGCATGGGAATAAAGGTCACTGTAAAGAGTGTTTTCTTGCTGAAGGGTGAGTGAATCAGTGCTATGCTGGGAGCTCGGTGCTGCCTCCCTATCTTTGTGGTACTAGCAGAAAGAAATGATGACATGACATTCCAGGTATGAACAGAAGATATTTTTTTTAAATCTCCGTCTCCCCTACATTCCCCTAAAGTTTGAAGAGCTTCATTAGCAACTTCTGTGCCCATCTTGAAGGAGAACTGGACTAATTTTCAGATGTACACATTACATTTTAGTCATACTGCTCTGGCTAAATCTAATGGGTTTGAGGATATTCTGTACATCTGAAAATCAAGCCCAATGTTTAGACATGACATCAAGCCACTCCATAATTCCTACAATAGAGGCAATTACTGCAGGTACATAACCATGTTAATTCAAATCCAACTGTACTGTGGCAGTACACTCCCCCCAGCAGGAAACGAAACTTCTCCAGGCAGGGAGAAGAGAAAAAAAACCCCAAACCCTTGAGGCTGCAGGTTGAAAATTGAACAGACAAATCGAGATGTGCCAGGTACACTGAGGTGACTATTTTGGCCAATAGAGATTAAATGGCCATATGCGCATTTTGAGTCGTCACTTTTAATTTTTAAGGATTCTTAAGTCGGCTGT